CCTGCCCCGGAGGTGACCACATGGCGCGGCAGACCTCTCCTGACCTGCCCGCTGCTCCCCTCAGCAGTGTACTTTGTCGATCTGCCTGTTCTGCTCCCACTCTGTCTCTGGTGAAGCCTCTCGCCGCCCCAAGCCTCTGGCCGCCCCAAGCCTCTGGACTGTACCCCAGTTCTGTATGCACAAATAAATAAATCTTTAAAAAGAAAATACTTAAGAACTCAAAAATTCAGTATGTAGTAATTTTTCTTCTATGATTAGCTTAGAGAGCAATTTGAGCTCCTTAGTATTTATACTATTCCCATTTACTGGTCTAAAATGTTACTAATTCTATTTACTTGCCTAAAAGTTACTGGTGAACTTCAATTAAGCTCACTTTTAAACTGCCCTTTGAACAATTTCAGTCAAACATGAGCAAACAAGTACTTGAAGCTTTGGATGACGGGACTGGCGACCGGACTGGCCATGAAATAATCTATAAAGACCAGTGCTTTTTGTATGAACAGCAGTGCCTTTTATTGTAGTGATACTAAACTGTGACCACTAACCACACAGGAACCTTGGAGGAGAAAAAAGGCAGAGGAACTCTGCCTAGTTTTACCTAGAAATTTTTCAATTAGAATACAATGGGATTCGAGGAAAGATTTCCCCTTGAAGAAAGAGCTCCACAATTTTTAAGACTGAAATATCATTTTATCCTACTCTATTTTTTCCCCTTTCAACAGAACATTTCACAACAGCAATAGAAAGTATAAGTATCACTGCAACTAAGAATGAAATCCTTAGATGCTCCGAAAGCTGAGTTTGTCAGACTGATTTAAGGTTCTTAGATTTAGCCCAGTCACTAGCGTTAAACTACCGAGGAAAAAGGTGAATAAAATTAGAAGTATATATTTGATGACTACGGGTTATGATATAACTGTACTTACTTATTTAGCTCTTTACGGACCCCAACAAATAAAACAGTTCCTATAGACTGTTTTGAGATCCTGATTTTTCTTTTCATGCTCTAATAGAGAACATCTCGTAGCACTTTAGCCACCCAGGAGTAATATGTCCAACAATTATAAATAAATGCTGGAGTTGTGTTACTGGGATTTGGAAACGTTTGTGTATAAATGAGGTGAAGCTGATTCTTCCTATTGTATGAAAGCCAATCGAGGTCTTTATAGTGTCGGGCTGCTTTGGACAACTGGGTTCCAAGGCAGAATTATTTCCTAAGCGTGGGGCAGAGGGTGCTTAAACCAGTTCTAGAGGTAGCAGGAAGTTTGTATCACCAACTCGAATAGCTTTATTTTTGCAATCTCCAGCGAATCCGAGGCTTTTCCCTATTTCTTCGCCTGGCGAAGGGAATGGTCTTCTCGGAAGTCCCCAAACCTCAGGCTGGCAGGGGGCAGACTCTAGGCGACACGTCGAAGCTGCCCCCAGAAAAATCCCAGTGGTAAAAGAGCGGCGCCGCCCCCTGTTCTCCCAGTTTGGCTTCCTAGTCCCGGGAGTCGCCACCACCCACTTTCTAGCTTGATAAACCTCAGCCAGAGGCCCGGACCCAGCACTTACCCACGTCCTGCTCGAAGGGGTTGGCGGTGAACAGAGGCATCTCGTCGGCTCCCGAACCCTAGTAGCTGCGCGCTGGCCGTGGCTCGGCAGCTGATCCTGGATGGCTGACCCACCGCGGCCGCTTCCTAGACAGCTCCGCTCCGATCGCGTCCTCGCACTTCCGCCACAGCTTTTGCCCGGCTGCCGCCAGACGGGCCAAGTTTGGGCCCGCGCCACGCCCCCCCGCTCCGCCCCCACCTCCCTTCGGGGGCGAAGTCCCAACAGCCGAGAGCATTCTGTCGGCACCCCTGACGCCTTACCCTGCCGAGTGGAGGCGGGAACCCTTGCCCTAGGACCTCGTAGGCGTCAGGCGGCTGCCGCGGCCACCTTTCCATCTTTAGGACCCCGGCGAGCCAAGGAGCCGGGGGACCTTCGGAGCCGGAAGTTGTCGCGCCTAGAACTGGGCGACGCCAGAAGCCCGGAAGCTGCAGTGCTGCCGGTGGCACAACAGGGGGCGCGACTACCTGCGATTCTCCGCTCGGGGGTTACCAGTTCCAAGAGTCAAGTTCTGAGCAATTTAGTGCCTTGCTGATCAGCCGGTTGCTGTCTAGCGGTGTGGACCGGCGGTTGAGTTTGTCACAGTACAGCTGCCCTAGAAATGGATGAAACTTAGACGCAGAAGTGGTTTTGAGTCTGCCAGAGACTTGATTCCGTTTTTGGCGCTTAATATGGTGCAGTCCTCGGCCCCCCACCCCCCCCCACCCCCGTACGTGACCAGAATAATCCTGGAAAGCGGTGGTCGCAGTTCTCGGTGACTGTGGGGAATCCCTTTCCATCCTGTTCTGTCCCAGTAAACACTGCTTGGCTCAGCGAATGCAAACACGAATGAGACACACTCCTTTGTCTTCCAGTTGCTAACAACTTTATAGGTGTAGTGGCTAACATACATGATAGTATATAGGTTATAGAGGCCGTGAACTCAAATTGCCCAAGCAGTCAGCCAGGTATTTAAATGAATGTAAAAGTGCAAACAAACACTTCCCATCCACACACACCCTATGCTTTCCTATTCTATATTTCCACAGCATTTATCACATAGAGTAATTACTATGTTTACTGTCGTCCTTTAGAATAGAGTTCATGACCAGTTTTGCTCAGTGATGTAGAACCAGTATCTGAAACTGTCTGCAATAATATGCTGTCAAAGAACAATTTTAGGGCGTCCCTGGTGGCTCAAGGGATTAAAGTGCAGCACTATGAAGCTATATGCAGCCACTGCAGCACCTTTGGATCCCCAGCCAGGGAAGTGACCCACATGGCACAGCAGACCTCTCCTGACCCACCTGCTGTTCCCCTCAGCAGTGAATTTCAGTCAGTGGGCCTGTTCTGTTCCCCACTCTGTCTGTCTCTGCTGAATCTGATGCACCCCCACCTCTGGACTGTACCCCAGTTATTGTACACACAACTAAAATAAATCTTTAATAAAATAATTTTAAAATGTAGCAATGACTATATAACCCAACAGCTTGTATCTAAAGAAAGTAGCTACTAATAAACTATAGCTATTTGTTAAAGTGTGGGCCTTAGTAAAGTTTCCAACTTTCCAATAATTTTTAAGTTTTTTTTTCATTTTTTTTTCTAAACGTTTAGAATTACATCACTGCTTTAACAATGGGTCAAGTAAAATCATTTTTGTAACATTTGGTGTAAAGATTTGATGCATAGGAGAGAGAATCCTTGTCCATGGACTAGGTCAGACAGATGGTTGTATTTTATAGTATAAGGACAGAAATTAGAAAGAAACACTGGTCCCTTGTGAAGAAACTGGTTTTCAAAAACATTGAAATATATATTTATCTTAGGCCCCAGAATGTCATCATTTCCCTTTCAGGGCCCTGACTTCACTGTAGCACATGCAGGGGGACATGTATTCAACCTTTTGGTTAGACCATTCTCACAATAAGGCCCTGAGTCTTAGTTTCTGTTTTTGTTTTGTTTTGTTTGAGATCACAATCTGTCCCACAGATTACAGTAAATAGAGATTCTCCTTACGCTTGAGCACACTCCTCTCTGATGAATGGCCTGCTATTTTTCATGGATTTCCATTTCTTTGAGCATTATTTTTTCATAAGCTTTAAATTTCTTAATAATTTTAGATCCATAAAAAATGTATAAAGATACTGTGGAGAGTTCTCATTTACTCCTCACCCAGGAAAGAATTAAAGTAACAGTTCTGAGAGGCTATCCCTAGGAAGACCAAACTATATGGGGTGCCCTTGACTGGCATTGAGTACTTAGATTTTGGGAAAGTTTCTACCATTCCATGAGAAGAGTGACTTTTGGAGCCAAAATTGTTCATACAACAATTATGTACATTATGCATCTTCTTAGTTGGACTTTACAAGTAATTATATTAATGTCCTTTTCTTCCTGGAATATAACCACCCAAACCACCTGCAGCTTTAGTGATTAACTTGGACTCGACATATAGTTGTCCTCATGACTTTATTACAATGAAAGGATACAAAACACATGTGGCAAAGTGAAATAGCACATGGAGCATAGACTGGAGGCACAAGCTTCCAAAAGTTCTTCCCCAGTGGAATCACACAGGACATGCTTAATGTATTCATCAAGGTGTCATGACATCACCTGTGAAGTGTCTATCAGGTAACCTCATTAAAGACTCACTGCCCAGGGTATTTTGTCGTTTGGGATTAATAACCCAGGCACCCTCTACCTAATATGTCTCCAATTTTCCAGATTCTTAGGAGGAAAGCAGATGTATAATGTAACTATTGCTTATATGAACAGTTTTGGGTCTGTAAGTCACTCTTCTTAAGGAATGATAGAAACCCTCCCAAAATCTAAGTACAAAATGCCAGTCAAGGGCACCCTTTCCAGTCTGATTTTCCTAGGGGTAGCCTCTCAGGCCTGTTACTTAAACTCTTTTCTGCATATGGAGATATCATTTTCATTCAGTTACTGTCTTTCCTAAGTATCCTCTGCTTTTTGACAGTTTCTCAGTCTTTCCTTGTTTGTCATTACCTTACAGACTTTAGGAGTGCTAGTCAGATATCCTATAGACTCTTAATGAATCTAGGTTTGTTTGATATTTTTCTCATGCTTAGAGGAGTGTTAAGTGTTTGGTGAAAGAATACCACAGAGAGAAACTGTCTCTCATCACATCATAAGAGGGCTGCATTTATCAACATGATACCTGGTGACTGTAACTTTCAACACTAGGTAAATTTAAAATTTCCCCCTTTTGCTGCTCTATTCTTAGGAAGAAGGCCACTGAGTTTAACCCATTCTTAAGGGAAGGACAGGGAAATAAGCTTCCATTTTTGTAGAGGGGACCATCTGAATATATTATTTGGAATATTTTTGTAAGGTGAATTTGTCTCTGCTATTTTCTAAATGATTCATTTAAGTATAAGCTCATGTATATTTATTTTTTACTTTGGCTTGTAATCCAGTAACAGATTTGGTTATTTGTTTTGCTAAGATTGCTCCAGCTTTGACCATTGAGATTTTGGGATTCTTTTAGTTGACTTCTATGTCCCTTTGATGGTCCCATATGTAAATGGTAAATGTGTATATATATATATATATATATATATATATATATATATATATATATTTGGAGCATGTCTTGGTTTTCTGGTAACACAGGATGCTCCAGGTTCATCTTGTATTTCCTCTGCCCTAGTCTAAGAATCAACCCTGGATCTGAAATCCTCTTTCAAGGCTGCCCTAGATTTCAAGCTTTCATTATATACTTTAAGTAGATAGCTGGGCTAACTGAGCTTGTCATTTCCTTCCTTCAGCATATTATTCATAATTAACAACAACCAAACAACTCTACAGTCCTTATCATTGTCTTCATATTTCATAAATGTTAGAGCTATTGTTGAACCATTTCCTGTCCTTCTATTTGTACCTAGCCCCAAATTGAGACACTACAAAATTAGTTTTGAAAATCTGCTCCATCAGAAACAACTGGTGAGTTTGTTAAAATCACAGGTTGTTGGCCCACCCCAGAGAAGTTAGGGCACAACCTAACTTCTGGCTGAATAAACATAAAACCTTACACAACAGGCCTGTTTATCTTAGTTCTTTTTAGCTGGTGTATCACACATTAGGCAGAGCAGCCTGGACAACATTGTAAATAGCACCTGAAAGAGAAATAGAAGTGTCTTTGGTTTTACTGGTGTTATCTCGTTTTCCAAAAATACACGCTTTGTTTTTTGAACTATCTTCATCTTTAACCTCTTCGTTTTTCACATCTGGAAGCTTAAGATCCCATTCACCCATCTTCTCCAGAAGCATCCCTTAGTTGGTCCCAATCAACATAACCTCTATACTGTGAAACTGTGCTGCACTACTTATCCTTTATTATTCCTCTAACCTAACTTGTGTGGACATTGTAACTCTCAGAGAACACAAAGTCACTATCCGTGTGGGTGGTTATTTTGTGTCCTACTCCAAACAACTACTATCCCTACTTAGTATACTCTTAACACTGCCTTATGGATTGTGTCCCCCCACCCCTGCCTCCAAATTAATGTGTCAAGATCTCAAATCAAGTGTGATGGTATTAGGAGGTGGGGTCTTTGGGAGGTGATTAGGTAATGAGGGTAGAGCCTTTCATGAAAGGAGATAGGGCCCTATAAGGAGAGGCCAGGAAACATGTCTCTGCTGTTGAGATTGCAACCCTGAAGAGAGTCCTCACCAGCCCCAACCTTGCTGGTATCCTGATTATTTCAGCCCTTCAACCAGTCTCTGGTACAGTCTATGGTGATTTGTAAGTCATCCAGTCTATGGTACTTTGTTATTAGTAACCTCAACTGATGAAAAGACAAGGAGTAACCCTATGTTTGATTAATTATCTTCTTTATCTTGCCTTCAATCCCCATTCCAAAAAAAAAGTTGGCTGACAAGAACAAAGAAATGCCCAATTAAATATCCAATAATATACTTGTTATTTTTTTTCCTTTCTTTTCTACCTTTGTTTTACTTTATCTTCCCTACACCTTGAGCAAAGAATAAAAGCATTTTTAGGTGCCTTACACTTTTTACAGCTTATTTAGTAAGTATTGGTTGCCCACTTTTTGCAAAATATGAGGAGAAAAGCAAAGGTTGACAATAGGGGTGGGCAGGGAGAGGAC